TTTAGCTTACGAACTGGTGTAAAACTACATCTATATTTGTTCATATTGAACCGAATTGTAGAAAATAAAATAAATCGACAATTTAAGTCAAATCGATTGTTTTAAATCATTCAATATTTTATGTACATTTACAAGGATCTATGTCTCATATTAGGTTTTAGTACCCCTTAAAATCAACCAATGTAGACAATTCCATCGTATTAAATCATTTAATATCTTATGTATATTTGTGAGGGTTTAGTCTCTCATATTAGGGTTTAGTATCCTTAAAACTGATAAATTTAGTCAAATATACCGTTTTAAATAATGCAGTATTTTATTTATATTTGTGTGGATTTAGACTCTGATATTAAGGTTTAGTACCCCTTAAAATCGATAAATAGTGTCACTTCGATTATATATCGGTAGATTTTTTTTTTTGTTACAACTGACTATCTTTATTATAGATTACTATCTCTAATTTCTTTTTTCTGTAGGATTTTATAATTCATTATCCTAACAGATATATAGATTTAAACACGATTAGCAATATATTAACATATAATTATGGTTTTTTCAATCTCTATGGAGATTAATTATGCTTTTTTTTTCCATAGCTAGGTTCAAAAAGTCCTCTTATGTAGTAATTGTTTTGATTTTAGATTTCCCTTGAAAATTGAAACCATAGTGACATTTTTGGTTTGACTTAACCGGTTAAGTCCCTCTAAATAAATTTCATTTTTCTCGCTTAGGTGTTAGGGTTTTATCAGTAGCGTCGTTTTTGTTGAAGATGAGATCTTCTCTCACCTTTAAAAACACCTCGTTGCTTGATCCGGTCTTGGATCAAGTAGATCTCCATCACTGTTGGAATATCTGTCTTCCGAGACAATACACTTCAGTTGCAAGAATTGCTCGTAAAATTGCGAATGATGTCTCTTTTTCAATTTCTTACCTCTGTCAAACGGTTCAAAGATGGAGATATGCTGATCTGTCTAGCCGGAGTGGGCTTAAGTCTCATTGCTTTGGACCTGACAAGATCATAAGGTTTTTCACCGAGAATGGTTCGGTTCCCGGGATTACAAATCCAGTGATGTTTCGTCAGTATGCGCAGTCTGGGTGTTTGATTCCCTATAGAGATCTGGTACTCTCTTGTTCTAGTTATTCCTTCTCTTTGTAACCTTGTTTTTAATGTGGACAACTCTTCATTTTCTCTTATTCTAGTTGTTCCCTCTCCTTCTAACCTTGTCTTTATTGTCAACATTTTTATGTTTGTAGGGTCCTGAAGGTCAATTCAAAATATCAAAATATCGCCTTGTGACTGTTGCTCAATTTTCTCTCAGTGGTCATTCTCATGGCACGGAATGCCCCATTCAACCCAATTGTAAGCCATTGTGTTTGTCTTTGTTTTTATGGAAAAGCTTATAGTTTTTTTTGTTT